AACACGGAATAATTTTCTAAAGTCTCAATTGAAGAGCCTTCATTGACGTTGTGTGCGCCGGCAATATTGCGAAAGTTACCGTGTTCAAACGCTTTGTGAGTTGTGGCTAATGCTAACAACAAGGCTGAAGCACAAATCCTCGTCTCAGATTCATGGATGAGTTGAAAGCACCATTGATACAAAAAGTGCACAGCGTTTTGGTGTATTAGTTGAAGTACGGTTTCCTGAAAGACATGAACGTGGCCAATGTAGCTTTTCTTTTCCATGAAATTTCTTCCTCTGTGGTTCCTTGAACTGTAGAGGCCAGAAAATGTTGTGGTGTTTAGTTATCGTTATGAATTATCTGTTTCGACTTGTTTTCCATGTCATCGTGGATTTTTCGTGAATTCGTCCTTTCTGAAATTTGTTCGCAGACTATCCTCTTTTTCGCTTGTTCTGCTTGTTCGGAATCGCCTGGGCTGCAGTGGTGTTCTTTGAAGAAAAACCGAGATCTCATCGGCGAAGCGGAAATTTACCAGGAATTTTCCAAAAACCCATGCGCCGTTTTCATTTCACTTGTGCAATTTTTTCTTGATGCGATAGTGCACCTTCCAGTGATGATTACGCCTTGTTGGATTGATTTTTCCTGTGGGATAGCTAATGGTGTAACGAATAGTTAGCGGCGAAGTGTAGCGGTTTAGATTGATGTAGAATATAAATCATGCGGGTCTTTTGGTTGATGTATTGATCAATCAGCTTCAAACTTTGGTAATTAAACCTTTAATACATAAAGGCAACGTTAATAACATAGTAGTAACAATAGAGAAGTAATGGCAGAGGACTGACGCGAGTTAAAAGCTCTGAGGTGCTAAGGCTAGTAGTGAAGTGAGGCTACCAACGAGATAATGACATTCGAATAATACTGTATCATTAATACAATATTAACAGTAATAATAAATGATTACAAAGAAGTAACCGCTGGTTAGCCGCGAGCGATGCCGCGCCGCGTCTATCCGTGGCTGGTGCGGCGGCTGAGGGAGACAGTATGCTGAGGCGGGGAGGAATACAGACTAGCCGTGTTTTAATAACATAATATTGCATAATTTGTCCCAATTGTAGAGACGGTGACTGCATGAGTTTGGGTACAGTCTATCTGATCTCTTGTAAAGTGTGCGAAGACGAATACGTTGGCGAAACGGGAAGACCACTCTACATGCGTATAAAAGAGCACCTAGTCGGCAAACGTAAGCCAAATACTCCGTTAGGCACGCATAGGACGCAGAGACATAACGGAGAAGATTTTGAAGTAAGGGTTACGATCTTCGCGCAAGAATCGAGAACACAAGCGCGCAAAACTCTAGAGGCATTCTGGATTAACTCCAAGAATCCGAAAATAAATCACAGGGAGGAATTCCTCATTATCACGCGTGATATTGGACAGTATATATACTTGTTATTCTGATGGGAGAGGCACATTACGCTTCCATGTGAATTCTGTGCGGTCGGTCTTCACACGACATGCTCAGTGGAAGTCTCATAGGGAGCAGTGAGTGTGCAAAGTTGTGTTAAATGTGATTGAAATCTTGGTTTAGCGGTTTCTCTGTTTGGTCATGAAGGTGTTTGGCCAGATTGGTTGCTGTCAACTTAACCTTTCCAGACTCTGAGGAAGGCGAAATCCGTAGAAACGTCAGCTTGTACGCAAATAAAGAAATAAAATAGCACCTCGTATTTGCTGAANATTGGACAGTATATATACTTGTTATTCTGATGGGAGAGGCACATTACGCTTCCATGTGAATTCTGTGCGGTCGGTCTTCACACGACATGCTCAGTGGAAGTCTCATAGGGAGCAGTGAGTGTGCAAAGTTGTGTTAAATGTGATTGAAATCTTGGTTTAGCGGTTTCTCTGTTTGGTCATGAAGGTGTTTGGCCAGATTGGTTGCTGTCAACTTAACCTTTCCAGACTCTGAGGAAGGCGAAATCCGTAGAAACGTCAGCTTGTACGCAAATAAAGAAATAAAATAGCACCTCGTATTTGCTGAACAAAAGAAGAAAGAATTATTCAATTCCAAAAATTCAAAAATGAACCGCAAAGAGGAGTGTCTTGTCATCACGCGTGACCTGGCGCCATACCTGAGGCTAATCCAACGACCTGGCGCAGGCACAGTCATCGCCCATGTAATACTCTGTGCGGTTGCTATCCATCAACGAACCTATATAGTATCAACATTATCATTATATCCACCATCAGCATCGTGTATAAAAGGGCATCACTGAGTAAGGATGCCTCATTCGAGGAGATGGCCCACTGAAGGAGACCTGACTCGACACGAAGGCGAAGCTGCCACGTCGAGACGAATAAGAAGCGAGGACCATCGACTCGGATCATCGGCTCTGAGGAAGACGAAGACGTCGAAACGTTGGCCGAAAATAAACATCATTATCAACCTCGTGTAAGTTCATCAAAGAAAGAAAGAAAGAGCCGTAGAAATGAACTTGGTATAGTAGAGAGTTCGTAAGAGTAAACTCTTTAATAACTCGACTTTCTATAACCGACTTTCTATAAACCTCGGCATATATAGTTGATATATTTATTTGTATGATCTTATAAACTGATCTTCTTAAGCTGACGCGAGGTTGGTACAGGTCTTCATTGTCATTCTCGTTGTTTTTGATGTTGTTGGTCGATGGCTGACGTTTCGGTGACTTCGCCTTTCTCAGAGCCTGGACGTATTTTATATTAGAATATTTTTATTCGGTGGAAAAAGGTTGAATTATTATTGAAGATCAAACTTTTAAGTAGATGCCAAAATAAAATTGAACAGAAGGCCACTTACCGTGATGTTACATGCGGGGCTGGCCCACGCGTTGTTTTCGTGGTTGCGAGCAAGACACACCCCGGGGTCAAAATATCATTTTGAAATAACGCGCCAGATCAAGTCTGATAGTGATTCGTCTTTCCGGTTCCTCTTTGGATTTTTGAAATTTATCCAAAACGCCACAAGAGTTTTGCGCGTTGATGTTTTTGATTCCTGCGCTAGGATCCGCACATTCACTTCAAAATCATCGCTGTTGTGTTTTTGTGCCCTGTGCGTACCTAAAGAAGTGTTTGGACGGGTTTTAGCTTTTCCATCTAGATGTTCTTTTATGCGGACACAAAGTGGTCTACCCGTTTCCCCGATATATTCCTCGCCGCATGCATTACATGAGATCAAGTATATTATACCTAAACTCATGCAATCCCCGTCTCTCCCGTTAGGACAGATCATACAGTTTTCTGAGCTGCACAAACGATCACAGAGACGGTTTCGAACTAACTGGCGGCGTAGGGTATTGGGTGGGATGTCAATAATCGTTACATAATTTTCAAGACCACTTTTTCTTAAGCACCTCTTATTGGAGTGACTTAATTCATTTGATACGAAGGGCAGCTTAAAGAGGATCTTACTTACGTCTGAAATATTATTTTGGAGAACTACACGTTTTTCTCCAACCCGAGTGCCTTCTACTTCGTAGCCATTGGAAATGGCTATTTTTCTTGACAGGTTTTGCGATTGCTTCCTTTCCTCTTTTACTGTACACATATTTTTAGCCGTACGGTACATGTTTTTGATAAATGCTTTTTTCATGTGTGAAGGATGAAAGGAGTGGTAGTGAACTGACATGTTTTACTACTTGGCTTGCAATACCATTTTGTTATATAGCCACTTACCAAGAGCTTTATTTGGATGCTCTCCATTCTGGCGCCAAAATTTTCTTACAGCGAAGGTGATGAAAATGAAAGAATATGATGATACCTCACGATGATTGCAGAATTTGGATCATTTTGTCATTTAATGAATAGTCGTGGAATAGTGACCCCATCTGCTATAATATGCATCTGCTATACAAACACTTAAAATCTAGAAAAATTACAATCTCCACCTAAACGGGCTTAATGCCGATTTGTGCTCCTCAGGTCAGACCCGTTGACGAGTGATTGCCAATGGCGCCGATAAGTAGAAAACTGGCTGAGAGAAAGGCAAAGAATCGCCGGGTATGGCAATCGTGGGCTCAAATCTGACCCGCGATCAAGGTTTTGGAAATATTTCTACGCCATAGTAGTAAAAAATAATTGAATACGTAGAAAATATGTTTGGTCAGTGCCTCGTTAACTGTGCAAAGTTGCAAGGATCATGGTGGTCAGCAGCTGTTTTGTTTGCACAGCACACTGAAAGAAACATTTTACAACGTTATATCAGAATTCGTAAAGGTTCTTAGGACAGTATCTCGTTCCACAACTTGGAACATAATTATTTTTTAGCATCAACACTTATTTATTTATAACACACGCGTTTATATTCTGCTCGCATTCTACCAGTTGTTTTCTGCTCCTTGCTCTGCAGAGGTCTGCGGCGAAAGTCTTCCGGTCTTCAAATTTGCGCACGGGTACTGATTGTGTTTGACGACTTTTTCTTCCTTATGAATGTCGGTAAATGGTGGTCTAGTTGCTTCTTCTCGAAATCCTAGGATCTCTCTACCAGAGCATTCCCAAGTGTTCACCATAGAGGCAGTTAATAAGCCCGGACTGGTTAGAACCAGCGACTGCGCTCGTGTTGCACAACATTTCTAACCGCTGCAGTTCTCGTTCAAATTTTCAATACCAACGACACGTTTTGTTGATGAAACGACGAATTACCTCAGCTTGTTAACGTGTAGACAATGTATGCATTCATTCTGCATTATTTCACTTGTTTTAGCTAAAACGCGATAGAACTCATTTACTGGTCGTTGTTTGTAGAATATGAGATTGACAGAAAATAAATTGGTAGATTTAGTTTAAAAAAATATCTGTGGACATTTTTTTAGCCGCAAGGCGAAAATGAAACAGGCATGCTGAAAAGGGGAATAATGTTAATGTCATGTAAAAGGCAAGACGAATCTATCGGTCATCAATGAGGTTGCTATCTCATTTCATTGCTAACATAGGTTGCCAAGACGAATCTATCGGTCATCAATGAGGTTGCTATCTCATTTCATTGCTAACATAGGTTGCATGCCCTGCCACAGTACTGTCGCTTTTGCTGTTCGGTGTAGAACGTGCTTGTACAGAAGCCATTCGCCACCCATGATGAACAGCTAAAAGCAGCATGAATCGTCTCTTTTCATAACTTCTTGGAAAGAAGACGGAAATAAATTCACGAAATTTTATACTATGCTTTCTGTGATAACAGAGCAAGCACATTGAAGGAGAATGATGCTGATCTCGTTCTGTTGATAATAGTTGAACGATAGGATTAAAAGACTAGACTTACCTTGGTACGCTGCCGCATGCGCCCCCCGATGCTGAAATAGTGAAGGCTTAGTACATTCATGACTATATGAAACATAAAGGACTCATACGAGTTCAAAAGTATTTAGCTTGGCCCGTTTAACGTTACCAAGCATATGTTCGACTGTTTTGGCTTTTATTCAAAAGATACAATCATTGCGATCCTACAATGACGGAATTGTACGCTTTCAGTCGAGACAAATCTTTCCAATTCGCTTTTCTCGTCTAATCGCTTTGGAACAGAAAAGCGATTGAACACTGTTTATGGAACTGAACCCGATGGCGTCTCGGAATACATCGTTGTTATCTTCGAGAACGCCACTCTTCAGTCGAAAATTTTCAAAATTCGATTTTATTTCGAATTTTTGAAAACCTGTGGGATTAACACGTATGAAAACGCTTCTGGAGGATATTGCATGTCAGTATCGATGTATATATATATACATCGATATATATGTATATGTGTATATATATACACAAGACTACCGACTGTTCAATTTCTGATATGCTCCTATTACCAGAAAATTATGGGCAGTTGCTTGAGAATCCGCCTTGTTTCAAATAAGTTATAACACATAGCGGAGAAACTGGCTTCAATTTCGTATAACCTATAAATTACTAACAGGTAGTCGTAGTAGTAGAGTTGCCGCATAAGCCGCACGTGGCCTGGCAGTTCTCCTAAAAAATAAAACGTCTCCAGACTATTTTCTACGGAATTTCCGAATATTCGGTTCACGTGTGATTCGTTATGCCTCGAAGAAATCGAATTGTGTAGAATTCCGGCATACTATCTTGCTCTCAACAACATCGTCACGTCCGCTAAGCGTAAACGATTCGAATGAGAGTCATCAGATTAACATACCTTTACGAAATCTTGTAGGTCAACATTGCGACATATGCTGACGTCATTTTTGCAAGAGGTAATTTTGTCTCGGCAGTTTGGATCTGGCATTGATATGATTAGCGATGAGATGGACAACTGTTAAAGACTGATGAATACAACAGAAAGACACTTTTTTGATCGCACAATCCGCAAACGGCTGGGCAATCCTCAGCCAGAATTGTTTTCCATGTCGGATCATCGCATTGTTCTTTCTTAACCGTTTCACATTTTACGCGAGGGACTGAAAAAAGTAATTGTTATTGTCGTTTCAGAAAAGTGTTGCCAAGTTAGAAAGAAATACTGAAGCTAGTTCAGGTACAAGGGATACTGTCAGCCTTCACCACACAGAACATCTCTTACACAAATAGCAGAAATAGGCAACCCTTATTACCAAAAACAACATCAAGCCACGGCAATGTACAATTAATGACACCCCATGAAGCAAAATTACAATCTTTAATAGACGGATAAAGAAAGATCAAGCATTCCGCGCTAATTAAGTTGCTAGGGATGGGCCATGCATTGAACCCATTAAGCAGCGTAGAGGTGATTGAATGGATAGTTGCTCTATGCAGTGAATAATTCACTGTTTCCTTAATTACTGGACGCGAGGTTGTTGCTGCACTATTTATTTACAACAGCCGATTTTTCTCGGTTTCGCCGTAATCAGAAAATAAATTTATGTATTAAGTTTTATCTGCTGTGGTTATGAAAGAGTTTGACCGAGTAGAATGTGTATCAATTTGAACTTTCTCTGGTGCCAAGTTGCTGACTGAAAAGCGGTGGAGGATTCAATTTGCTTGGAGCCCAGAATAGACCTAACAATGACGTGTTCACTGCAGGGCACCTCTAACCACATCGCTGAACGCTCCCCGTAATGTGGGATACCTTCTTACTCACTTTGAACCTGGCCTCACTGGTGGTGCGACCCCCAGCATCATTTTCATTCGTTTTTCACTCGCAAAACCGTCTTCCATGGTGGTGGCTTGCTCCGAGTATGGTGATGTCCACAAGACCCATTCCGAATTTATAGAACCGATTTCATCTGCGAATGCAGAATGATAACGTCAGCCGCGATGACGTCCACCTACTGTTTGGGTGGTCTTCCAAAAGGACGCTTGAATTTTCTTGTAGCCTACTCCACTTTCTATTTCGTCCACTTCTCATCTGTTCTTTTCACTATATGATGGGTCCTATTAGAGTTTTCAGTCGGAGGTAGTCGGGTACCTCAGCATTGTGAAGCACGGCTGTGGTTGCTAGTCGATAACGAAGAGTGTATAAAAACATTGAAGAGAAAAGAACACTTCAAATATTGCCGTTCATTGTGTACAAAACTTAGCAGGCATCGAAAAGGCACAGTTTGCTTTAAGAATAAACAAGGTGATCGAGTGACAGTACGCAAATGTTTGTTTATTTTTCATTACAAACCAGACTTTTTGACCAGACAAACCAGACAATGGCTCGTCGTTCCCAAAGATATCCAACCGTGAGACGAACCTTACGATATCCAGCCTTCGCTGTCGATCTATATCCTCCTAGATCCCGAAAGTGGAGTTGGTTTCGAAGATCACAGTTACGCATTTCGGCTAGACGTTATGAGTGCCAGGTAAAATTCGGAAGACATCTTTTAAGCGCTCTGCCGGTGGTGCGCAGATTTGTTGATGTGGTTGAAATATCAGCCCACGTTTCCGTTACATATTGGAGCACTAGGAGGACTGTAGAATCGAAAAGATGAGGGTGGAGTTTTAAGTTCGTTAGTTGGGCGGTGGCTTCTTCGAGTGGCCCGAATGAAGTCCGTGGTGCTCTTCTTATTCTGTTTAATGCCTCCTTCATGTTATCCTCCATGTACGTTGAACCTTCACGGTTTTTGTTATCAGAAAACCATTCACTTCGATATGATCACTTCCGCTTCAAAAGTTCTCCATTAACTTGGTCTTTTCCGATTTATTAGCAGTCCAACCTTTTCTCTCAATTCGTTGAGTTCAATGAGCATCGTCTTTGCTTCATTGGTTCTCCTCGAAAAGATTGAATGCCGTTGGCGAAACGAAGATTTGATAGGAATTGTTCGTTATTACGTGTACCTTTTCTATCCTATTTGAGTGATCTTATAAACTAATAAAATGAGGCTGTGAACAGTTTGATGTGATTGTTTCACCCCGTCAAACCCCTTTTCCTATGGGCATGGGGACAGGGTAAATGAAAACGCTTCATTTTTTGCTGCATTTCTAATAACGGTCTACTAGTGTTCGTCTATAGGATGGGTGCACATCTTTGTCGACGAGGACTGATAAAATTGAATTCGTTTAAATTCTGTTCAATGCTTTTACAAAGTCAAAAAAATGAAGACATGAAGCAGATGGTACTCGTGGCAAATTTCTATAACCTGTGAGACCGTTTTCATGTGATCCATGGAGCAGAATCCCTATCGGAATTCTGCTTTCTCAATTCGTTGTGTGTTATCGAAGTCTTCGACGCACTTCTGAAGCATATTGGGCGATGGTTGCGAAAATCCATTAAATCACCATTTGTTGGCTTGATGACCATGCGCAAATTCCACAAATGGTCAGAATTTTTGTTTTCTGAAGGTAAAATGTCGTGTGGGTTGCGAAAATTCATGTAACCTGTGACCACCAACTCTAAGGAAATAGGTGTCATATTATTGGGTACTGCAGATGTACTCTCTTCGTATTCTAAGTAGAGCTTCTGAGGGTAGAATCCCGAGCGGCTTTTCACCAGCCGAGATTTTTATGTCCCGGACGGGGTTTGCAGGACGGAAGGGACTGGAATAGGGCTTTTGCGTTATCAATTCTCTGTCATGGCGGAATGTGGAGATAGTCCAATCTTCGCTCATCAAACCGGGTAGGGGAACATTAATGTTACAAAGATCTCGGCGACACTTTTTTAGACTGGATCGTTTTTGAGTCGCTTCCAATAACTTTTTCTGCCTGCAGCGATGCAAATCCTCCTGCAATAATCTTCTTTAGCTAACACTTATTATTACCTATGTTAGGTGTGTTGCAGTAAGATCACGCTTTAGCATAATACTCTTTTCGAGCCACTCCTTAGTGGCGATGAAGATTTGGTACGATCTTTTCGTTAGAGGAATTCAGGCGAGTTCGCCACATGTTCTAAATCCGTCGACAAACAGCGTTTAGTTCTCGGTTGGGTATTTTTTATGTGCCAATCAATTGGGGAAAGAATTTTACTGAGAATATTCTAGTCGTATACGATTTGCTTCGTTCTCCTTGAACAGAAGATGGTAGGAGTTCTTCTCCACCTTATGGTTGGATCGAATCATAACACGGAGAAAGCTGTGATCAGTTCTAGTATATAATCGAGGTACCACCGAAAGTGTCAAAGCGCTACCATGATATCTCGATGTTTTTCTTCAATAGGCAGACACGAGTTTGTTATTATAGAATTATATTTTAGAGAATTATATTATAGAATTCTATAATAACAAACTCGTGTCTGCTTATTGAAGAAAACATCGAATTATCAATCAATGCCGAGGTTAAAAAAAAGTCGGCCTTGGGAATTGCTACCAATATCTGTTCATGAGAGTATGACCAAGGTCTGCACAAGTTGTGCCACTGGGAGACTTAAATTACCATCAGCAATTTTCTTGCTTTTCGAAAAATGAATTCCCACAGAAGAGACCTGGTGTCGTCAAGAGCCCTGTAAACTGGTTTCCGTACTCATTTCGTTCTCCTGTTCCAAATTTTCCTACCTTATACTCATTCTTAGCCGCTCTTAATCTAGGAATAATAGTCTCCAACGATTTTATAGAAGGGCTTCTCGTGGCGGATTACTTTCTTTGCCTGGTTGTAGAACGCATTGCTCTTGCTCTGAGCAGCTGTACAGGTTAGTGAGTAGCTGTTCATGATGGGTATAATGTGGAATAAAATACTGCATAAAGAACGCAATAGCGTGAAAATGTAATTGCTGTGCACCATAATTTTAAAAAAATGGAATAGGCGGTCGCGTAGGACACTGTAGCCAGGTATTAACCTCACCCGCGGGTTGCGAAAACTCCGATAACTACGATAACTAGGTCTTAAACTTCATTTGTTGGCTATTCTTTTTCACGAGAAGATACTACGTAAAGAACAAACACAAGGATGTAACCATATGATATGGTGAATAGAACGTGAGCCTCCAGTAAAGGTAGTCGCCTATTCGGTGCCCAGTTGAAGTTCTGAGTTTTGAACGTAACCGAGCATCCTTGTAGTTGTACGATACTCTTGCTTGGAGAATGGAAACACTGAATTGCTACGCCGCTTAAATTCCGCATCGAAGCTGTTAGAAACTGGCCATATATTGGACTTAATTAAGCGTCGTCGAGCTCACTGAATGGATATTTGCCCTATACAATGGCTTACTCAATCCTACCGATATATAAAGACGGTAATTCCCAAATCCGAGTTTCTATAACGTTGGAATTAATCCAGCAGTTCACCAAATCTTTGATAAGCAAATAACAGACGCTACTTTGATCTTTGTTGACGAATAAGCTGATATTTGGGCGGATTTTGCGCAGATGGTTTACCCTGGTGCATATGATCGAGCTAATAACCACGCGTTTATCGCAAGGCATCTCCGACCACTGCATACGCGCATCCCATATTATATGATACTATGATGTACCATGTATAATACTACAGTGTGTAGTACTAAGTGCTGCAATATCAACAATTATCTTTGATAATATAACTACTATAATGCTGAGATACTTGGAAAGTTCTGGACCGAAGGTGTCTGCGGTGGAAAACGAACACGCTGTTGTCCTTTCCGGGTAGTAACGCGTTCACCACCACACCATGCGAGTCCTTCGTTTCGCCTGTTTCTCAACTAGTTCTGTCGATTTTTTGCCATCAGCAATCACCCGCCAATGGGATTGATCTGGGTAGCCCAAATCCCAAATCAATACCGCGTTCGTTCCCCACTGCAGACAGCTGCGGTCCGGAGTTTTGCAAATATCTTAGCGTCATTAAAAGTTATATTTCGCAAAATACCCTGCGTTAAAAAAAATAGGCAATAAATAAAAAAGCTTAAGGTTATCTTCGATAATATTACCATTACAATAATTGAGGGTAGTACAGTCGGTGTTAATAACGTCCGTGCTAGGAGATAACGTTTCGTTTTACTCTTCAAAACGTTTGAATACTGTTTGCGCTGTCATGGTTTAACTTCAGAATTTTGCTCATACAGGAGAAGTTGAATTACCGCTAAATGCTGTGAAACTTTAGAATACTTATTCTTACTTACTTATTTATCTTAAAGGCTCACCATCTTTGTTTTTACAATTGTACGCTGGCGTAATGCAACAGTAACCGCACGTCTTTGGGCAAGTTTGCACTGCCACCTGCACCACCTCTTCGTCACGTTGATTGGCAGCATTCTGAATGGATAGAACCCGTTAAAATAGTAAAGATATTGTGAGGTCCTAACTAATGGACGCGTTCTTCAGGAAAAATAAGTGGATCAACGTTGCAATAAGTGCGATTTCTGGAATCTAGAAGACGATGGAGAGGTGTGTGGGCTCTATAGGGCAGGTTCATCTACACCTCGAGGATCAGTTGATGTCTAACCTCGCTAAGGTGTTGAATGCTGCCCAAAAGGTAGATTCAGTTGTAATCCCGAATTAACCTCTCTTGGGCACTCTGAAGATATTTTCGACATTTACTCGCTGGTCAATGCAAATTACAGTTGGAGAGAGACTCGCCACTTCACGGCTGCCATTCTTCCAGAACGACAACGGTTGCTGAAACCGGTCGGCCAACTGGCAGAGGAGGATCAGACAGCCTCAAAACCCACTAATTTTTTGAGCGTAACTTTTTTGAACAGAAAGGAACCAGGATTGAAAACTGCCATGTTTGACTTGAACAAAAATACTCAATAGAGATAATTGAAACTGTAACTTATCCATTATTCAAACATTTTCATGTATTTGTTGTTGTTTAAACTAGAAGAAATTTGTTTGGTAGCTCAATATGTTGCTGATCGGTGAAGAATGTATGAACACGATAAATTAAAATCGAGAAAATAAAAGAGCCTAGGAGACTCCAGAGCAATACATGATAAAGTTTATCATTACTAGAGCAAAGCCATGCAGTCGAAGAAATTACATGCACGAGCATGCCCCTCCTCCCTGTAAGCTTAAGACGACGAATGCAATGTGAATGACAAATATATTGCAGTGTGAGCCTTTATCCAAGACGATTACGGTAACCTGAACCGGTGCGGTTTGAAAAAATCTTGGCCATTTCTCTAAACAGTTTTCACCAGTACCAGCCAGGTGGAATGAGCAAATATTCTTAGTGGTAGGAGATTTAATAAAAATACCCAACGAATCACCTACAGATATTCTAAAGAAATCCCATAACAACCTTTCACCAAAATAAACAACATACAGAGATTCGAAATTTTTGGCTGCTTATTCTTCAATTACTCATAGGAGACCTTAATTGTATTTCTATGCATTTTGTAAAGGAGAAATTGAAAAAAAGTTGTTTGGTAACTCAATATTTTGCCGGCTGTCAAAGAATGTAGAGAAGATGTGTGATAAAAAACGTCATAATTAAGGTAATGTTAAGCAGTGGAAGCCATAAGATGAATGAGCGTGCTCTTTAACTATTCAAGTGTAGAAGGACAGAGGTCTCACTTCTAAATCAAGCTGGTTACCTAAAGCCTGAAAGTGTGTGAAATGAGGAGCTTGTGGAGCGAGCGAATGACCCAAGTGAAAAGAGCGCAAGGGATGCTACCGATGGAGAGCTCACTCACCTGAAAGCACTTAGCGTTTCTCTCGTCACTGGTGCCGACCTTCACTGCCGCTGTGTAGATCACTAGGCACGTTGCACTCGAGAATTTGTCATTGCAGTTCACCGCATTCTCCGAGTACTAAAAACGTAGTTTTCATTCATTCTACAATAATCACAATCGGCCAAACTTTCATTTAAACTTCACAGTATTTACGTGCTTTAGAATCAGCACCAACGAGTTCGGTGCAATTAAGATCGGCTGGTGCAGCGGCCATTGTAGATTCAAACAGAGCTAGGAAAAATGGTATGAAAATATTGCAGTGCATGCTTCTTCTGAAATTAAAGCTAGCCAATTCTCGTTTTTGCCCTTTTATATAGAGACACAAGAGCAAGGTACATTGTAATGAAAAGGTGATGAAGGAAAAAGAAAGTTGGAATGTCCTTTATTTTCCGTATATAGTGTTTCACGTCAAGATTACTAGCAATGGAAGTAACGTTAGAACTAGAATGATGCACTCAAAGTAGTAGTCTTAACAAAATCACTTTAGGCGGCGACCTTAGCAGGCCGACGATGTAGGTGGGGGCTGTGGTGGAGACGCTGAACGGGAATATCGTTTTCTATGATGGTATTTTTATCAGCTTTGAACAATCATCTCGTTTAGACTGCTTGCTGTCAGTAGCAGCTGTATCCACAACATCCCACCATGGTTTCAATGAACCTCAGACAATCTCAATAGAGGTCCTGCATCAACGTCACTTTGAACTGAGCAAAGACAAAGCTGTTTAAAGGTAATCAGACAATAGCGGAATATGTGTTCAGCTAGCGTAAGTGATGACACTGATAAAGAGCAAAAGTGAAGTCAAAGACGGATGAAAGGCCTGTTCGGCATTCATTCACAGCTTGCCTAAAGAGTAAATTTAATTTCAAGGTATCAAAGAGAAAAAATAGACATTTCAAGTCTTTCTTCACAAATAAAAATCTTCATCATCTTGACTAGTCTGTGTTAGAGCTAGCGCACCTCATCATGGTGCCTGTTTAGGAGCTCGGGTTTTTTCTTCTCGAAAAATTCTTGGATTTGGTGATCATAACATTAGGTGGATGTACAACTTCTTTCAACTTGGTTTTTTTTCGTTTTTTTCGTCTTCTCATCATCGCCCATGAATACTGTTCGTTCTACTATAATGCTGGGATAATTGCGAAACTCCGGACCGCAGGTGTCTGCGGTGGGGAACGAATGCGCTATTGTCCTTCCCGGGTAGTAACGCGTTCACCACCACACCATACGGGTCCTTCGTTTCGGCTGTCTCTCAGCTAGTTCTATCGATCAGTGCCCATCACAGCACCATTGTGGTTGTGTCAGACATAACACCGTGCCTTGAAAAATTGTAGTAGGTAGTGAATTAAAAATTAGCATTGTGATTTCGACTAGAGCCTCAGTTTAACTAGGTTCAATGTTGATTTAGACTGCCTAGATCAATTCCGTTTACAGGTGATTGCCGATGGCACTGATTGATAGAACTAGCTGAGAGACAGGCGAAACGAAGAATCCGCAGGGTGTCGTAGTGAACGCGTTAACCACTGGAGAGGGTAATGGCGCTTTCGTTCCCCACCACAGACACCTGTAGTCCAGAGTTTTGCAAATATCTCAACACCATTGCGGTAATATATATATATATATAATGTTATACTTTTCTATTTTCTGCCTACTATAATTTCGCGGCAGGGTACTAAGCGAAATACAACCACAACGTTGCTGAGATATTTGCAAAACTCTTGAGCGCAGGTGTCTATGGTGGGGAACGAACGCGCCATTGTCCTTTCCGGGGAGTAACGCGTTCACTACCACACCATGCGGGTCCTTTGTTTCGCCTGTCTCTCGCCTATATATATATATACATATATATATAT